TTATTCTTATTCTGATTATTATTTTATTCTACGTTCCGTTTGACAGAGTGTGGCATCCAGAAATCATTGTGCCCAACGCCATAGAGGACGACATATCCGTGAAGATTCATCGGGATGTAAACCTGCACTCCGACGGTCGTGTAGCTGTTTGGATGCCTCTCTCGCTTCGCACAAGCTGCAGGTAAAGAGAAGGAAAATTGTGAAATGGTATATCAACACTATTAGGTCTGCCCACGTCGTTTTATGCAAGAAAAATTCTGAAATTATGCAAAATGAGCTAAAAATGTGAAATTATGCGATTCTGTTAATTTTTACCAAGAATGATAAAGGAAAATATTCAGAAATTAGGCATAAATTATCACACATCCCATATAAAACGATCGGACTAAACTAATGTACAAATTGTTATTTGGCTTAGGACTTGTTGGTTTTGTGTTGGGCACGAACCCTTTGGGCATCGAGTCTTCTAAATTTTGGACATAATTATCTGTCAATTCATCCCAAAAGTCACAGAGAAGAGAGTTGCAAACAAAAGGTCGGAATTGGGAGCAAAGTCGGGTTTCTTCAGCTGCTGCTTATTGGGACTTCACATACCTGTGGGATTCATATAATAGGGGCTATTTACAGGTAACCACTCCAACGTTAATATGGATTGGTCTTCCAAGAATTGTCTATTGTACTGGCATTAGTCCTGTGAGAAAGTGCTTTGCTATGCGCGGAGATGTCTATTTGAATGAGACAATAGCGAAAATAAGGGTAACACGTGACGTTCCGGCACTTGCACGATATAGTCCGTTAAACCAAGCACCCGATGATTCTCACGACGTCGGTTTTGTTCATTCCACCCCAGATCACCCAAACCATGACAACCCCCTAGGGCAGTGCCACTGACTGAAGTGTCTTTAGGCCATTCCCAAAGGGGGGACATTTCTTGTTCAAGCACAGTAGAATTGTAAATGGGCTGATTCATGTCACGCTCATAACTGTGCCTGATCTACAACAGGGAACTGCTGCTTTTTCTTTCCTGATCCTTACTATTGTC